TGTCTGGAGACTAATTAGATGTTGAACCCTGTCTTACATCCCAGTCTCCCTGTCTTCAAAGCCAGTGTCTTTCAACAGTCTTTGAAAAACACTGCAATCTTTAGAAGAGTAATAGTGACATATCTCCATTTCTGGCAAATTCCGCTAGTCCTCTAGAGTATCATTGTAGAATGAAAGAGTTCAAAACAGTAACCAAATGAAGGTTGCATACATATTTCAATGGAACTTTTATTTACCAAAGCAGATTGAGGTTTGGGAAGGCTGCATAGTATGGAGATGGGTTGAAAGAAAACAGAGGGAAGAAGATTGTCAGGAAGGCTACTAAAGTGACTGGGTGGGAAGTAATGAGGCTGAGCCAAGGCAAGGCAGGATAACAGGAGGCAGTAGCCTGCCTGGGAGTCTGCTGACCCTCAGTCTCTGCAGGTGGGGATAGTTTAGGGGAAGGGGCAGTTATGAATAGGAAGGCAAGGATGATTTTCCAATTTCTGGCTTATCACTTGGAATATGGTAGTGCCATTGCTATTAGCCAGGATAGAATCCCAAGATGCAAGTCTTATTAAAGTAAGTTGATGCTTTCACTTGAGGTGTGTTGTGTTGAATTTAAAGGGCCTTTGCCAATTCCAAGTGAAGACATAGGAGAGTAGAAACACATGCATTCAGTAAACTCATGTAAGTGGGAGGCTTGAGCAAATCTGCCCTAAGATGAAAGTTTGGATGTGGGTGAACTTGTAAGAGGCAATGGGAGGCCTGAGAATAACCAATGTAGAGGTTTGGGTAACACAGGGATGGTGTTAAAGTGAAGCTTATTTCTATAGACAAGAGTGTGACCAGCATAAGAGAGGGGACAGCAGTGTTGACAGCCATCATAGATGCTGTGAGGGGCTGGGTAAAAGGCCATTTTTCTAATCACCTAGAATACCTTCCACATGTGGCCCTGGAAGTGGGGCAAATGACTTCTGGTGAAGAAAACTGCTGGTTCTCAGTTTCCCCTTATTCTAGAGGCAGCCAATATTTCCGACCAACAGCAGCTGAGAGGTTCAGCTTCAACTGAAGGGCCCAGGCAGCTCCAGATTTCTCTGTGGAAAGAGAGTTGTTTCATAGCTCAGTGTCTCTTCCTAATTCCTTCTCCTGTCTTCCATAGGTGTTGAACCCAAGTGTACCCTCAAGCAGACTTGCTCCTCTCCATCTCTCTCTCTCTCTGCTTCTTGGAGAGCCCAGAGTATAAAGATGCTCTTTCCTCATGTCTTCCACCTGGCATTATTGTCAGGGTGAGAAGGACCAGGCCCACTGTGGCACTATTAATCAAGTTCACAGATGATGGGTGACAGTAAAAACTCTGAAGACTTACTGACCAAATAAAGTTTTATTTTAGTTCAAAATAAAACAAGAAAAATTAATATATATGTAACAACATCCAAAATGTTTTCTGTGGTACAAATGGGATCAGCCTGAAAAATCCATAAAGAATTCATTCTCCAGCCCATATGACAAAATATGATTTCCCCATAATTCATCTTCTGAACTTAGGAACAGACTTGATATCATAAAAGCACTGGAAAACACTAGAAAAAGTGACAGTGAAAAGGCAGGTTGTGTTTTGAATGTTCCAGTGATAATCAGCCGACAGTGAGCATGGATGAAATAGTCCCAAAATGTGCTGAGTCAGGATACAGTCTGTGGTGCAAATTCACTCTCCACTCTGAGCATGGTCATTAAGCCCATCTTTAAAAGTCAGGTTTTGTGTGTTCCTATTACTACTTAAGGACATAAGGGAGAAAGAATTTCACTTAGAAGTCATAGCTGCATGTGAGATACTCGGCTTATTTTAGACATCTTGCTTTTATTTTCCTTTTTATCTGCAAGGTGACTTTGTAGGAGTAGCTGAAGGAGATTCTTTCTGGTTCCACTGTGGCATGGTTCCACCTAAGACAGAACTGAACTGGGACTGCAGAGAAATATTACTGTGGGTTATTTCTGAATCCAACTCCCTCCTACTTAATTGCACTAAATCTGGACTTTTTGTTGCTCAGAAAACAATGGGGTGTCTACCAATTTAGTACCAATTTGAAGCTCACTCATTGTGGATTGCAGAGTTTAATGTCAATGAGAATTGTACAGATACCATTCCTATTCACACAGAACTCTCTGGATCACTCTATATCTCTAAAAATGCTAAGATGTTTTCCAAAAGAAAATGAAAGCCGTGGTTTCAGGCTAGCAGAATAAATGTGGTTTAAAGGATTGATCGTTAAGCATGATAGTTTCAATTTTCTTTCAGAAGGCAGGTATACATGAAGAAATTCATAAATCTTTGGAAGAAATAATGAATCATGTTGCAATTCACTTGGTTGATGGGTAAAATAAAACTATAATAAAGTCTCACATCTCCTTTATTAAGCAAGATGAAGTTTCTTACATGGGGTGAAGTTGGTCTGAGTGTAACTCTTTGGGTGTGAAACCTTTGCTCTATTTTGTCTAATGAGAGTCCATGTAGACCTAAACTAAACCTAAAAATAATAAAATTCACAGTGATTTGCATTTCCGGCTTTTGTTCACCCACTTTACCATGATTTAGGGAAGTGTTTCTTTGAGTTGTTTTTCTTCCATGGACTTGATATTGAGCCGTATTATACTGAGACATTGCCATAGCCGAAGTGGCACAATAGGTTGATGGAGGGTTTCTCTCCTTGCAAAGGACTCAATTCTTCTACATCTAAAGCTTCTCAGTGGTCTGCTCTTTTGTCTCTCTTTTTCCTCTCTGACAATAACAGAACTCTGAGACCACAACTTCATTTCAAGCTTAACAGACCCAGTGGTTAGATTAGTAGCCTGGTGTGTGTATGTTAGTGGATTGCAGCTCACTGTGACTACATTTCCAAGGACCTGAACTAGAAGAAGACATCTGATTTTTTTCCCTAAGGCCACAAATAAACTGGGAACTATTTCTTGCTTCTGGGTACCCACCGATTATAGCCTAGGCTTGTAAATACCCTAAAAAACCTGTTCTTTTAAATACTGCAAAGGCCTTTGTACCTGGGTGGTGATGATTGGAGGATTGGGACATAGGCATTTATAAAGCTTATGTGTGACCTGCTCTTAATTGTTGCTGGGCTGAATGGGGCCCTCTCTAAGGTACACTGTGTCAGTTTCTTTGGTGGTCTATCTCTCCAGCAGGGCAGGACCAAACCTGGGAGCATTTTCTACTTTAAGCGAGAAAATAGCTAGAATCTGTTTTTGTGCCTGCTTTAATAGTACCTTCCTATCATTGGTTGCCCCTGAGGATTAGCAGCTGTTTCTCTGGCTGTGTGTACAACACAGAGCCATGCTTCGAGCAGCTTATCCTGAGCTTGCATGCAGAGCTATTGTGCTCACAAGGCAGCAATGTGGCAAAATCATGGGCATTGTTCCCGCCAGCGCCTCTCTTCCAACACAGAATGTCTCACCTTACTCCATTGCCCCTGGCTAGATGGGGTGTCTTGGCTGTCTAGGTCCAGGACTCTGGCTTGGCTAGGTCCAGGACTCTGGAAATTTGGCTAAACTATGCATTCTACCGAAGAGCTGCTTTTGTAATATATCCAAACAAGTGCTGCACCTACTCCACCCCCCAGCCACTCATCATTTTCTTCTTGAAGGCTTTTGTAAGCTCCAGGGAAGTCAGCATGCAGCATGTGAGAAGGGGAACACACCTTTTGGTGAGCAGGGCCTAAGATCCTCAGTCTCTGCTCCAGGACAGATATAAGTCAAAAGGCGCTGGGTTTAACAGACATGACAGAGGACAGAAACCTACCTGGCAGTCTATTTTCAAGAGGGCTGTATGTAAGTCAACTGTAGTTTAGAAAAGTGATACCCCTGCATGCCCAGAACACAGCTAAAATCAGAAGCCAGCAGCGGCATCATTTTTGGTATCATCCGTCTATTGTAAATTTTTTTTAAAAAAAATCTAAATTGTGTGAATTGAACTCAGCAGTTGTTGCTGTTAGTGGTGTGTGTGTGGGGGGGGGGGGCGGGGGGAGGTAGGGTGGCAATGGGACTAACTGAAGGAAGAATGCAAAAGGATTAAAGTACTTCAGGAGTCATTGAGCAATTCCAACTGCTGCTCCAAAGTCTGGCTGGTCCTTAGTAGTCTTTTATTTGTGTTCTCATTTGGGTCAGGTTGTAAGTTTCAGGCAGTTTCTTGAAATAAGAAGAAAATAGCTGCAGAGTGCCAAAGAAATTGTGACGGCTTTGAAAAGTGTGATTTTTGGCTTTTCAAAGCCTTGAAGCTCTCTTTTCCCAATAGGGGACCTTGCCCTGGGTCTCGCCCTGACTTTTTGTGAATGAAATAGCAGATACAGAATAATTTTGGTTCATGCCTCTTCTTCCACCCCTCCACACCCTGCTCCACCACCAAACACAAACCCTTTCTTCTTTTTATTCCCTCCCTAGTCAAACTTTCCAGAAAGCATTTTCACCTTTCGGTCTCCATTCTGGCAATCACATGCCTTTAGACACACACTTCCTTACACACACTCCCACACCCACACTCACTGTCATTTACTACCTGCTAGTTATCCATCTCCAAAGGCCACTGTTGGCCTGGCCTTGCCCCCAGGTGCATATTGTGCTGTTTGGCACTGAGTCAGGGACTGGCATCTCCAGAGCATTCCTTCCTGTGTGATCTAACCAGTGCACTGTTCTCCCCCCAAAGTACATATTAGCCCTCAAGTGGGAGCCTTGAAGTCGAGCCCCAAGCAGAGTAATTATAGGCAGGCAATCTGGGAGCTCCAGAGATCTCTGGAATGAGATATTCCCATGTGATTGTGCCAGGGTGTGCAGGCAGGAAGGTAAAAACCCAGAGGGTTTCAGCCCTCCAAACCTGATCACCTTGGCCCTTGGAAGAATCTACTTCTTCTGGAAGCTTTGTACAGTCTCCCAGGACACTAATAATGTACTGGTATCTTACTTTTATGGAAAAAAGCAAGGAAACATGAAATGCTTTTACCAAGTGGAACCTGAGAAATTTGATAAACAGATATGCATTCTTCTTCTGGGCATTAAACATTTTAGGGTGATCACTAGTATGTTGTTTTTTTCTTCTTCTTCTTTTTTTCCTCAATGTAATATGTACTCCCTTGGGATATCTCCAGATGCGGTCACTTTAAAGGCTCAACCACTCAAAAAGGAGGCTGAGGCCTCACCTGAGAATAGATGATGATGATGATGTGGGCACTTTGGGTGCTGCTGATTCTACGGAGCCTAGGTGCCCACAAGTTCTCTTGCCAGAGGGGCATCCCCTACTTTATGGTCACTGTTATCTGCCCCATTATCTTAACTCTCATTGCTCCAGAACAATTCTCAAAGTGTGTTGACTCTGGGGCAGTTTGTAAAACCCCAAGAGGCTCTTCCTTATCATTTCCCCCCTCCCTTCCTTCTTTTCTTTTCCCAATTATTAGCATCAAGTGTTAGACTCTCAGAGAGAAAAGCCTAATCTGTACCACCAGAATTCTTAACAGGAAGGTAGGCCTAAAGGTCAAGCAAGGGCAAAGGTGATGTTAGTTCTTTCTGTGCTGCATTGTGTGGAGAGCTCTGTGTTGTTCAGCTACACAGCTGCCGTCATGGGGTTCTTCTGTCGAGGGTCCTGGGTTCGGTAGGGGTACTGGTCCAGGCTGCCCCCATGGGGCCCTGACCTGCCCATTTCCGGATAGGCTGGCACTCTGTGGTGCTGAGGTGGGGAAGGTGGAACGTCTTGTCGGAAGGGTCCTTTGTGCTGGGGGGCTGGTGGGGGCGGGTAGTACTGAGGATAGCGGAGATCTGTGACCCTCAGATCTGGGGGCTGGGGATAGCCCCCTCTGGGTGGCTGCACAGGGTGAGCCCCTGGGTAGTAAGGAATCTCCCTTTCCTTGAAGAGCCCTCGAGGCGCTGCCATCCGATAGTCCATGGGATTCGCTGGTCCTCCCCTAGAAAAAGAAGAATAAACACTTAGCAGCTCAAGAGATTACCCCTAGCTGGTGCAGCCCTAGACCAGATCTAGTTGAGTATAAACAGAAGAAACATATGCCCTTTACAAAAATAAGGCATAAGGGACTGGAGAGGTTGTGCAGTGGGTAGGATGCCCACCTTGCACTTGACCAACCCAAGTTCAACCACTGGCACTTCATATGGTCACTTGAGTCCTCCAGGAGTGATCCCTGAGTGCAGAGTCAGGAGTAAGCCCTGAGCACCACCCGGTATGGCCCCAAAACAAAAAAGAAGAGGAAAAGAAAAAGAAAAACGTGGTCCCTCTTTCCTCTTCCTTTCATATTGGCTCCTGGAAAGGCATTTTATTTTTGTTTGTTTTTTTGTTTGGGGTTTGTCCCTGGTGGCACATGGGTTTTATTCCTAGTTCTGTGCTCAGGTTTGCTCCTGGGTGTACCCTGGGGACCATATGCAGTGTCAGGAAGCAAAGCCAAGTCAGCTGCATGCAACACAAGCACCTTACCCACTGTACTGTCTATCTCTCCAGCACCTGGAGGGGTATGTTATAAACAGGAAAGATGTCAGAGATTGCAGAGGATAAAGCAGCAAGAAGACAAGAGGCTAGCACTGCTCACAGGCAGGATGGAATGAGAGAGAGAGAGAGAGAGAGAGAGAGAGAGAGACTTTTCTCTGTCTCTAAGCCTCCAGTGGTGGTCTTTTGACAGTAACCAAGTAGGCTCTGAAGCAAGGTAGAGTTGACTCTCTTAAAGCTGTTGTCTTTCTCTGTGTCAAGGAAGCCTGTCCTCCATATAAGAGTAGAAACAGACCGGCTATTCAGAGCAGTGTGTCCCCCAGGTTGCATTCTCTTCTCTCTCTGGCAGCCAGCTGCCCTTCATATGGGTCATATAGTCCTGAACCAACTCTACTTGGCTCCTGTCACATCCTTGTTTGAATTTGTGCGCACTCCTCTCTGAACAGTTCCTAGGAAAATGTGCGCATCTAGAGCTAGCAGTCGCTCTCTAGGACTTTGATAGAAAGCAATTCTACTACCAAGTGAACATGTACCACCAGGCCAGTAGCAGAATGGGAAAAGCCAAACCAGCTGTGAGCTTGCTGGGGATGGGGTAGAAGCAGGCGCATAGAAAGGTCTGCAGGAGGAGGAAATTCTCACAGACAGGGACCCTGTCTGCATCTCTAGACTGAGTCAACAAGCATCTTTGGATCCGTTTGCCATAACAGAAGCAATATGTCTCCAAACAATGTACAGACGACTGCATCTCATCTAGCCTGGGGTTAAACACATGAGTTCTGTTTGCAGCTCTTAAAATGCCATAAACCTTCTGTGCACAGCTTTACCACCATCATCAGATCCTCCCTACTTTTTACCACTCTTCCTTTTATTGTATTTTTTTTTGAAAAAGGAAAACAGCAACAATAATAATTAATGGAAAAAGTCTCCAATGTCATAGTGCAAGCTTCTAGAACACTTGAAAGAAATGAGAGGGCGGCAAGAATAGAATTCTTCTGTGGTTAATCAAGCAGTGTCAATGAGGGTCAAAATCCCTTTGTAAATCGGCAGAGTTTGATGTTAAAACAGCTTGGTAAGCGCCTCCAAATCAATGCAGGTTTGACAAGCCCGAAGCTCGGGTGCCTGTGGAAGGCGGCATGGAGCACATTCATAAGGATGAACAATAGAATTTTCTCTCTACTTTATTATGTCTTAATTTGGCTATGTATAATAATGAAAGATAGATCCTTGAGCTTGGGGTAATTTACTTAGTGAGAGTTTGCAGATAAAAACATTAAATTGTTTGTGTACAAGTTATTATAGCATCAACCACTATTATTCAGTGCAGTTGGCTTTGCTCTATTTTAAATTGCCCATGACAAATAGAGCACAAATACATAATCTGTCACTCCAGTCCTGGGAAATAAGGCATCAGGTGGAAACCCTCCTTTTCCTTCAGAACATTATTTAGTAAACTTCTTGTATTCATGATATCTTTTATTGTTCAATTCTGAAGACCCTTGCCTCCTACTTCAGCCCCCTGCTCATTTATATTTCCTTTTGGTTCATGTGAAAGATTTCTGAAACACTTAAAAAAATCCTTAACCTGTGCTTTCTCCCCAAACCAACTGAAGATCTTTCTCTGCATGAAATGAAACATGTGGTTTTTCTGTACTCCTGTTAAGCCCTTGGGATAAATCACTGACATTTGCAACACACAAACATTATCTGCCTTAAAATGAACATACAACCAGTGTTCCCCCTGGACCCTCTTAGCATGAATGTTTCCGGTTTGAAAGGGAAAGCGGGAAAGGAGAAATTCCAGGCCTTGGACTTTTAGGGCCCTGGTCGCTTCCTTGGAGATTTGTCTTTTTTAAAAAGCAGAATATTATACAAAAAAGGTATGCTTAAAAAAAGGTTTAAAGTTCTGCTTCTGGAGAGATGATCCAGATGAAGGGGGTTGGGACAAAAGCCATGTGGCAGCCCAAGCTGGGCCCACATCCCCCTGAGCTGTGGCCACCTCCTCCAGGGAGGAGTGGGGTGCTGTCCCCTGGGCAGATGGGACAGAACTCAGGATAACTTGGGGTCCCCTAGTGCTTCCGCTGAGGGTAAATTAGCTCCTGGGAGTTTGCTTCTATGTAGCAAAAACCTAGCGAGGGAACCTGTTCTTTGTCAAGAAATGAAATCAAGGAAATGAACTTTTTCTGTAGAACTCATCAAAACAGTTATCATTTTAAATATTTTACAGAAAAGAAAAACAAGGTGTCGGCCTATGAAAACACTATTTAAGGTTCAAAGAATACTGGAAGAGTTTTTCTAGCTTTGATGGGTGTGTGTGTGTGTGTGTGTGTGTGTGTGTGTGTGTGTGTGTGTTTGTGTGTTGCTGTCACTCATAACAACTTTTTGCTCAAAAATGGGCATTTCTGCTGGTGGAAAATGGGCACTGGATGGGTACTCGAACATTGTATAATTGAAACCCAAGCACAAAAATTTCTAAGTCTACAACTGTACCTCATGGTGTTTCACTAATAAAAATTAAAAGAAAAATGGGCATTTTGGGAGCTGGAGAGATAGCACAGCGGGTAGGGCGTTTGCCTTGCACACACGGCCGACCTGGGTTCGATTCCCAGCATCCCATATGGCTTATGGTCCCCTGTGCACTGCCAGAAGTAATTTCTGAGTGCATGAGCCAGGAGAAACCCCAGTGCATCACCAGGTATGACCCAAAAAGCAAAAAAAAAAAAAAAAAGGCATTTCCAACAGACTTTTTGCTACAACTTTAAAATGCTTGTGGATATGTGGATATGTGTGTTTTTCACACTTAAAATGAAGACTTTTATTCATAATTTCTTGTATTATTGTTGAGGGAACAGTTTACAATACGTTAATAACGAACATTAGCAACAATGTTAATATTTATGCTTCACAATGTCACAGTACCACACACACTTCCAAGGCACCAGTATATCCCCACCACTGTCCTTACCTACCTTCTTCTTACTCTCCTCTTCTCCCCTCCCCCCCCCCCCCCCCCCGCCACACACAGTAGCTTCAGTTCTGCCACAGATGCTAAAGAGCCTGTTTTCATTGGCCACTGTCTAGTGCTTGCTTTACTTCTTTATATACCACCTATGAGTGAGATCACATGGTATTTGTCTTTCTCCTGATTTCTTTTGCTGTCTCACATCACCCTCTAGTTTTATCCATCTCATAGCAAAATGCAAGATTTCATCTTTCTCACAGTGGGATATTCTGTTTCACAACTTCTTTATCCACCTGTCTGTTCTTGGGTGCTTGCAATGTTCTCAGATCTTGGCTATCATAAATAGTATTGCCATGACTGAAGTTATGCATGTAGCTTTTCCTCTTAGTGCCTTTGTGTTCTGGGAATAGATAGCAAGGAGTGGTGCTTGTGGACTATATATATTAGTTCAATTTTCATTTATTTTAGAAATCTCTAGAGTTAGAACAATATTTTTTGGGGGTGTTCCCCAAACAATGCTCAGAAAGCTTGGGGGCCCCACCAGTGATTCTCAGACAACCAAACTGGCAGTTCAATACCTGGGTCTGAAGATGTGATGCTACCTGGGCTCCCCTGGCTGTGTTTGGGGTCTCCAGGGCTACATCCGTAGTGCTCAGGAGACCATATGGTGCCAGGTCAGGCACTTGCTAGGCATGTGCCCTAACCATTATACTATCTTCTGGCTCCTAAAGCAATGTTTAAACAGGAAAAAGACCCTGTCTTCCTCATTAGCTGTAGAAACTGATGAAGATAAAAGAGAAAGAAGAGAAAGCTGATATTTTGACTTAATTAATCCTGAGCTTTGTATTTCTCTTGTCTTTATTTGAAAATGAGTATCTGTTTAGTTATTAATTTTTTTCTTTTTGCTACTTCTGGGCGCCATGTTCATTGGTGTTTGTTTGGGTCTGCAAGGGTTGACCACTCCTGGTGGTGCTGGGAATCCAGTTCAGGGCCTGTTTTGCACATATGCCATGTAAACCTCACCAGACCCTGAAATGTAATCTTTGTATGGAAGCAAAAAATAATAGATTATGAGCATAAGAAATGCTTATCATAGTGACTGATGATTTTGAACCAACCCTGAGAAACCCAGTGATGAGTTTCTCAGGAGATGCAGAAAAAAAACCGGATCCCATTGACAAATATATTAGTACTTCAAAGTCCCTTGTTTTTCATGTGCACTCTTAAGTATTATTCATAGGTATTATTTGTCATTAAATTTTTTTCAATTGAGAAATCTGACTCCAAATGCTATTTACTTAAAGAAAGAGAAACAAGCCTATATTTGCATTTTCTATAACTATTTATAGAAGCTCTTATGAAAATATCTGAATTTTAAAATTCTCACTCTATTAATGATTAGGCTCCTTTCTGTAGGACAACAGAATTCAGAGTTTGCTTGGAAAACTCATAGCAACAATCTCAGGCAATCAGTTTCCAATTGGAAATGTCTACAATCATGAATGCTAAGT